CCTTCCAAGATGCTCATTGACAGACAGACAGCCAGACAGACAATGAACTTTATGTGATCCTGAGGAGCTTTCGCGGGAACTTCTATCGGGGACCCGCGGAAGCCACTGGCCGCGTCCAAGTCGGGGCTGGGACACTGTGATGTTCCGCGATTTCTTGGTCCCTCTGGATTGCCTGGATTTGTGCTTGCAGCGATGGGCTCCGGAGTGGTTCTTCCCAGTCGGCTTTGCTGGATAGAGGGCCGTTAGGTAACACGGGGCATTGCCAAAGCATATGCTCATTGACAGTGGCTACCATTATTCTCGCTCAAGAACAGCTGGTCACAACGTATAATAATGTCGAGTCGCTGAAGAGCACACATTCGGCAATTATCATGGTTTTCTGTCACATCACTTAGCGTGTTGACAGCGCGGAGGCCCCATGCTTCGTTAAGCGGTTATTGTGACGAAGCACCAGGGACTTATACCGCCTGGCTTCAAACTTGCAATGCGTGCAGTATCTGCGTTATGGAGTTTCCGTCAACTTGACGGGCGCTTATGGGCTCCTGGAATCGTTAAGAAGTCACGCATGTCACCGCTAACCCTGAAATGATTCACTTTGCATCTGTAGACGAAGCGCGCTTTGAGCGCATACAAGTTTACACCAATGGCTCCACTAATTCTAACAGCTCTACAGGAGCAATGGTTATTCCTTCTGGTAATGTGTCGCTTCAATACAAGTTCTCTCACACCATGACGTCTACAGCAGCAGAACTTGCAGCGCTTCAAGGTGCAGTCAAGTACAATCTTGGGCATTAACCTAATCAATCGGCCATCTATTGCGCCTGGAGGTCAGCCTTACAGACACAACGATTCGCTATACAGCACGGGTTATACATGAACAATGAGTATATCAGATAAGGCACGACTACCACGAAGCGCTCGAGGAAGGCCAGGATATTGTATTTCAATGGTTGCTGAGTGATTTCGAATTTGTTGGCAATGACCACGCTGATGAAGCAGCTCGATTGGCTCATGACCAAGACCTGCGTATTCCCATACCACTCTTGGGAACTGAAGCTGCAAGGCGACTACAACCACTTGCTCGCCGTATAACTCTCCTACAACGGAATACGCCGGGTTTCTCCAACGCACGCCTGTATTCTATCAACCCAAACTTGCAACTTCGTTTGCCATCGTGGCTCCCACGACGCGTTGAAACTTTGCTGTGTCGCATGAGGGTAGGCATGGCATTCAGGATTGCATATTCTTGTCCCCTTGGAAGTCTTGTCTCCTTGTAATGGCGAGCAGTTCGGCATGCAACATTTGCGCCTGCGAGGACGCTTGAGCACATTCTCTGCCACTGCCCAGCACACCAGCCTGAACGACATATTATGGAAGCCAAGCTCCGACAATTGGATTCACAACCGCTAACAGAAAAGAAGATCCTGGGACCTTGACTGACGGTTTCACATACGTGCAAAGCCACGAAAGCTATCTCGTACTTCCCAAAGACCACCGGACTTCACGAGCACTTGTGAAAAAACAACATGAGACCGTGCTGTGTAGTCTCGTAGTCTCGATCCGACTGTTCATCAATCTCTTTTTTGCTCCTCTTCTTTTCTTTTCTCTCTTTTTCTTTTCTATTGTTCCCCCTCTCCTCACCCCAAGTGTAGGGTAGCCAACCGAGCCAAGCTTGGTCAACCACCCTGCCTTTCCTTTCTATTGTTCTCTCTTTCTCTCGCTTGATGGGTTTTACGAAGCCCATATCCGTGTGCGTCTTTCCTTTCGCAGCCCCGCCGCGGTGGTATAGTGGATAAGGTACTGCTGCTGGCCTGCAGGTCGCGGGATCGAATCCCGGCTGTGGTGGCTGCATTTCCGATGGAGGCGGAAATGTTGTAGGCCCGTGTTCTCAGATTTGCGTGCACGTTAAAGAACCCCAGATGGTCAAAATTTCCGGAGCCCTCCACTATGGCGTCTTTCGTAATCTTATGGTAGTTTTGGGACAAACCCCACATATCTCAGGGAAGTGGAACAGGGAAGCTGAGTTCCACAGCGGAACAGGGAAGCTGAGTCTACTTAACGATTTCATTAGCTTTTGTGATTCAGTAACTAAAGGAATTAAAGTGATCCTTGACTCCCCATTTTTTTTTTCATTTCACGTCTTTTTGGGGTGCTGCATATTCGAAACATATTCTAACAATATTTGGTAGTTCAAATGTGTGCTATTAGATTCGTAACGATAGATCCCATCACCCATCGGAGACTGCGAATGTTGTTGTTGTTTTTTTTCAACATTCGATGTAGAACAAGCTCTTCTTCTATTCTTCTATTTCGTCTCACGCTAAGTTCACAACAATCATGACCGAGAGTTCAGTGAGTACGATGGTGTATCGACTTAGTCATGTACTGCTATGCACATCCTTGATGAGAACCAACAAAAATGAAAGCAAGGAAGGGTAATGCACGCTATTTCTAGTGTCATACTGTATAGCGTTAACTATGATATATAGTCAAGGAAGTAAAGGGAATGAGTTGAATGGCTTCCGAAAGGGAGTGACCTGCGATCTTCAGATTACCTGGCCAATGCTCTAAGGTACGAGCCACAGCGTTCTCGTCTGCGCACTCGTTTGTTCGCCTAACTCTGTTAAAAAAACAGGGGATTGCTAGCGCTGCTCATACCCACGCTGATCACTGAACAATTCAAAATTATACTGCAACTGCAATGGTATAGCTATGCTTGGAGGGAAGGGGGTTGTTGAATTTACTTGGAACACTGCCCCGGGTAGGCCAGATCCTTTTCGTTTCTCTTTTTTTAATATCGCCTCCCGAGAAAACGAGAAATTTGTTGTTCAGCTAGTTGTCCAAAGCGCCCATTCGAAACAGCGCCACGTAATAAATATGGTCACACAAACGAAGAGACGCGCCGGACATACGAAGGTCCAATTTATTGTTTTTAATATTTAAAAAAAACATAAATGAAGGCATGCTAGTCACACAGAGAAACGCCTGTTGATCGATACAGCGGTGGTACAGACAAGCCTGAATGCTCGTCTCTCACCCGCTGCCCACAAGAAATAACCCATCTTACACGCAACGAAGCGCTCGGTTCGCGTTGCAAGTACGAAACTGACATAAAGCGCTGGTACGCCACCAAGTGGGAAAACTGTTCCTTATGATTGCATACATGGCATGAGAGACTAATATAGCCCTGAGGTGCCCGTTAATGTCGTTTGAAGTGAACTCGACGCACACGAGCGCGAATGAATAGTGATCCACCTGTTCTGTCCTGTAGTGCGCTGTAGACGGCGAACGTTTAGGGCTCGTACTACTTAAGTCTGTCGCTAACCGCACACTCCCGATGTGTGGAGGGGGTGTTACCTACAAAAAGTAATGCTGATGTACTCGTCTCTCTCTCTTTGCTTGTCTAAATAAAAGCATTAGTAGCTAAGTACCTAAGAGTTTATTGAATAAAGCAGGTGCGTACTGCACTCTCAGTCACTCGTAGAAACCCAAGATGTCTTTAAGTGAACCACTGGTGTCCGTTGAACCTAGTGCAACACACGCCCCTAGCCAGTAGAGCATGAATTATCCAATGAGGTTATCCAATGAGGTCTACCTCTATCAAAACATCTCAATCTTCCCGACCATGCATTCGACAAACTATCAGTAACGCTCTTAGAGACGGGATTTAAATCAAATCGAGAACGTGAACAACGAGAGTCATACCTTATCCACCGATTTAACACCCTCGATAGAGGAATAAATGAGAATCCTGGTACACTTGCAGCAATTAAAGCATTAGAAAACAATAACGGCAACGATGAAAATAGTAACTGAGTTCACGGCACTTCAGCTGCGAAGGGCACTGGACAACCTAAAACAATTCCAAGTGTAACTACTCTTCCTAAGTGCAGCTGTCGTCTGTTTTCTGTTTTATTTTACTACCCAATCATTTGTACCATGCACGACATGCCCAACAGCAACCATTTGCACAGCCGGGAGGCCCCCACGACACGCGTAATTTAGAAGCGGGCCAGGAATTCGCATTGCACGCGCTTGCACAGCCTACCGCAATACGGGGCACCCCTATTTTTACGACGAAATGTTGACAGGGCGCGGAGTAGTTAAAGGCTTAGAACTTCCGAAAATGCCCGCTGACCAGCCTCTGCCACAATACGCGGCCCCCGTCCTTCTACGACGAATTGTTTACGGGACCCCGAGCAGTTAAAGGCTTAGGACTTCCTGAAAAGCTCTTTTTTGCCCCACACCGAACCGCCAGTGCCAGGAGGGACCGTCTGATCGGGAGGAATGCGCTAGGGAACGGAAACATACACAGACCGCTGACATCAGAAAGGTGAAGGGGAGAGGGGGGAGAGAGATGGGGGGGGAGTGGAGGGAAAAGTGGAAGGGGGGCACCCGAGGGGCGGTCACCGTATATTATTTTTCTCTTTTTTCTTTTTTTCCTTTTTTCTTTCTTTCCTTTTCTTTTCTTTTCCTTTTTTTCTTTTCTTTTTTTCCCTCTTACCTTGCCCTCTGATTTGAGATTGTATAAAGCTGAGCACCGACAAACTGTATCTTTATTCCTGATGAAGGCCAGACTCTAGGCCGAAACGTCGAAATAAACCACGTTGTGACCGCTCACGGAGGATCTACTAGACTATATATATATATATATATATATACTAAACTTGATTTGCGCACGGCTTTACCTAAATATCAGCGGCTGCAAGCTGTTCTGAGAGCGCACGTAAATATCATTTTGTTTCCGCGTTTTTTATTGCATGTTAAATTTCTTTTAGTAAAGACAACCGGAAGATGTTGTATTTAACACTCAATAATTACATTCACATTTTGGTCAACCTTTGGTAATACGATAATCAAGCGTGGTTAATAGCTATTACAACTTAAAAACAAAAAAATGTTGTATGAGAGTGTCGATGACTCATTCAAGGCTTTAGGAAGGTCACTCTTTATTTACATATAAAATAAGCATATCCTAAGAGCTAGGAATTAGGGATTCCAAAACTGCGAGCATTTTGCGCGTCTCGATGAACGTTCGAAGCAATACACTTACGCCGTTTTCTGAAGCGCTATAGAAAACTAAAGTAGCACGTTACGGACTTTCGTGCGGAACTACAATTATACAGCAGCGATTGCTATTTTAAACAAGTATTTTGAAATAGGCTGATTTTTTCGGTAATATTCAAGTAAGTACGCTCAAATATTCTTTTTCTTTAAGATCACTAACGAATCTTTTTATTTTAGTATTCCTATACTTTGGCTAATGCAGTGCATTTTCCTGATATCTGACCATGAAGTCTTAAGGAATAACTGATGAGGATTTTGTTGTTCGTAATGGGCGAAATAAAATACCGTAACAATCTAAAATGAGGCTCTATTGGTGTTTACATACACTATACTTTACTTCAATACAGTATAAATAAATCACTAATTGTTGGTAAAATATAAATGGAACTGTTACAGGAGAAAGTTGAAAGTATGTATGCGCCAACAAAGCCGTATTCGTGTTGCATCATCACTATATACTATCACTATCAGAACCGTTAGCCACACATTTTCATTGTACACATTTCATGTTTCTCTGATTGTTTTATTACCTGCATGTTTTACCCGCTGTTACCGGAAGGAATTTTAGGCCCCTATACAGCCAGTCATGTCAACCACTGCCCGAAGCTTTGTATTCTGTACTAGCGCTCTTTGGCCATCACATAGTCCATGCACCTATAAACAACATATATTTTTATTTAATGATTATGAACATCTCGTATAACGAATATAAACACAAGGTATTTAGGAAAAATAGAAATCGAGTGTACATTTAGTCAGAGCAAACCAAAATACATTGTTGTCTTCGAAAACAGTATTTCAGACAGCACGAAAAAAAATTTTATAAGTATGACTGCTGCAAAAACGTGTTATACTATACCATATTATAACATGCACAATACACCCGCAAACGTGGTGACTCTGCCCTACAGGCTCATTCGTTCAAGATGAAGTGGATATGATCGGGTAAGTGCGGGAGTCGAATCACTGGCGTCAGTGCGACTGATGGCGATCACGTTGGCTATAGCTGTTGGAGGCGGTGTTCCTGCGAATTTGGACGCGGTTGGTGTTCGTGACAAATCTCCGTAGCGAGAACACGTAAGGGACACCTTCAACTATGTGCCGTGCGAAAAAAAAAATAGACGAGAAGCTATGAGAGGTGCACAAGATATGTGGCCGGAAATTCCCACAAATTAGAAAATTTTCACACTGTCCTCATAATTACTTCTTCTGCGCCTCCCGCATCTCAACCTTGGTACATCTAGATACCAGTTTCAAGACGTGGTCAAGAATAAAGTTAATTAACGTTTTATCTTGTTCAGATGCGTGGTCGACTTAAGTGGAGAAAATGCTGCTTTTGCCTACAAAAAAACCTGTTGCCACTTTCACATTTCACTAAAGCAGCTTCGGTCGAATAGCGCATATTGAAATGTGGCGAATTATGCCGCGATACCAAAATTGCAAAGTGTGCACGTGCAATACCCTTCCGCGGCATCTCGATTGTGCGATCGTCATTGCACAAACCATCGACTGAATTCGCATTGTGGTTGTGCGGATTTTTCTTTCAATCAGAGCACGCAGGGCGCACGTACCTTAACAAACGCCAAACTAACGCCACTGCAACACTGTTGTGAATAGTGACATCATCCTGCTCATCTGCCGGTTGTGCTTATTAGTGCATCGGTTCAATTTTTGCTCGTGAATTTGGTTAAACTAAACTGCTGCACAGCAATCCCTAGAGACCAATTTCTCAAAATACAAACGTGGTCTTGTCCTTAGCGCAGGAAGGACCGCTATTCACCTATTTGTTTCCACACCTCCGCTAACTAAACTTTTACCTATTCATTTTATTTAAACAATAATTTAGGGCTGTGCCTATACATCTTGAGATCTCTCTAATCAAACGAAAAAAGTATGACACAAATAAGGAAATAATTCATTTCCCTTATTTCTTGTAATATTTTGGACACATTTAATAAACACCGTGTGTACAAGCGTCAATAGAAAAGGTCGTTTTTTTTTCTTAGACACAATATTTATGGCAAGTAGTAGACTATCATGCCAAGAGAGATGACGTTATAGTAAATATTGTTCAAATGTAAAGAAAGAAAGTGGGGAAAAAAAGTCACAACTTTGCCGCAAAGGCGAAGCAATGAACACAATATCAAGAAATTGGAAGGTCACGCACGTAAGGGCAAGCGAATTGAAACGTGCCCCGTGTTTTTGCGCACAAATGAGGCACAAAACGTACTCACAGGTACAGATGAATGCGAATAAGCGTCTCAGTTGTTACTTTGCTGTGTCTGAAAAGTGCGCCTTTTTCTCAAATGAAGGCTGTGCGATGATTGCAGTGACCTTTGTGTGCCTTGTAACTACAACAGAATCGTTACAGTGCAAGCACGATGCCAGCCAAGACGTATGATCCCCTACATCAGGCTATAAGGGCGCGTGAGAGATTATCCACTCCCCTCCTCTCCGCGGGCCAAAGTACGCGTGAGAGATGAGAGCCGCAGCGCGCTTATTGTGCCATCTTGCTGATAATACTGAAAACACGATAACTCCCCCCGCCCCGCCACGGCGGTCTAGTGGCTAAAGTACTCGGCTGCTGACCCACAGGTCGCGGGCTTAAACCCCGGCTGCAGCGGCTGCATTTGCGATGAAGGCGGAAATGTTCTAGGCCCGCGTGCTCAGATTTGGGTGCACTTAAAGAACCGCAAGTTGTTGAAATTCCCTGAGCCGTCTACCACGGCGTCTTTCATAATATATGGTGGTTTTGGGACGCTAAACCCCACATATCTGTCAATTATTCACTTCCCCGAGAAGCAGCAGCACACGACAGCTTCAAGTCATCCTCATCGCCTTATTGACCACTTTAACCGGTTTTTCAACAATGGTACAAATCGGTAGCAATAGGATGCGCAACAGAATAGGAAGAGATAGAAAGGGATAATGCTTTATTGAATTATTCGGCAAACAACTGCCCTAGCCCCGCGAGAAGAGGTTCGTCGCGATGCGGGCACATAATCCAAGTGCATGGTTGCCAAGGCTGAAGTAGCGAGGGCTGCTCGCCCAGTGTACAGAGGACGTCATGCGATATGGATTAACAAAAAAGATCAGAAAATCAAAGAAATGTCAAAATATCACGGTCAACCACTGAAGCAGTTTAGCAAATCGATCATTGTGAGTCGATCGCAGATAACAATCCTTAACGAAAATGTGCCGCACTGTGGACTGCCAGAAAAGTATCGTCATCCCAAATAAGTATGTTCCACACAATTGAACAAAACTGTACTACGCACGACTGGTCCACCAGAAGGGAAGATTTAATTAATGTAACGGTTCACCCAGCAAAAACTGCAAAGCGACGGGTGCCAGCCGATGACTCCGAGTACGTGTAACGAGAGGACGCTAAGGAACGGGAAAGGCAGCGGCGACTGCGAGAAAATACCGAAGCGAATGATCTAAGTCAACGATGACGTGTCCTGTAAAATACGCAGTGCTCACACGTTGATATGTTCTGGCATTCAGGTAATATTGCCGCGCTTCCTATGTTATCTTGCTTTCTCTTCTTTCCTACCAACCTACGACTGGCTGCGTAGCGCTTAAAAACATGTCGCAAACTAAAAAAATTGCCCGCAGCTTCCCTCGGGGGAACACTGAGGAGGATGCGGAGCATATAATTGGTTAACGGGGTGTTAAAGTGCGACTTACTTGGGTCGATGGCTAAATTGGTTAACGTGGTTGTGAAATGGGGTGTTAAATTGCGACTTACTTGGGTCGATGGCTAAATTGGTTAACGTGGTTGTAGGAGGGGGTGTTAAATGAGTGAACACGTACACACGTATGCGAAAGGGCGGCGCTGGTCGAAGGGACGTCGATCATTGTGTTTGTGGATTCGTTGGAATTCATTTCACCGCGACCTTGGACGTCGACGCGCCGTACAAACCAACCGACGAGCGGCAACTGAGCGAGCGAGCGCCGACCTTGAGTATATATACAGCGCGACGGCGCATGCACTGTCAGCTGTTGAATGTTCTCGAAGCGCGACGCCACATGCGCGTCCACTGGAGAATCAGGAGAATTGTAGATGTCGAACGCGGTGTGTAGAGGAGGAAGGGTGCACAGATGGTGGAGGAGTGAAGCGCGCGCGGTGTGTAGAGGAGGAAGGGATGCACAGATGGTGGAAGAGTGGGCGACGGCGCGACGGCGCATGCGCGCGCGTCAGCTGTCGAATGTTCGAGAAGCGGTGCGGACGGCGCACTACAAGGCGCGAGTATAAGATGCTCCGCATCTAATAAAGGGGGATTCATCTTCCTGGCACTGCTTAAGTCATCTGTTTTCTGGACTGTCGTCCAGCCGCGGAATACGTAGGAGGCCCTAGGTTTATACCCTAATCATTTAAAAAATCTTTTTATTAGGCTTTTGGCAGTCGTTTGAAAAAACTGATTTCAGCGCAAACACAGGACACATTCACGTACTCACTCACACACACACACACAAACACACACACACACACGCACGCACACACACACACGCACGCACGCACGCGCGCACACACACACACGCACAGGCATCACACACGCAGAGTGCTGCGTGTGTTTGGCCTCTTGGTATGTGTGTGCGTGAATGTGCCGTGTTTTAGCACTCAGTTCAGTTTTTAAAAAATTATAACGTATACGAAGGCTTGGTTCAAGCACTGGTTTCCTTCCCTGTGGTTTGGGTAACCGTGTCATATCTGTGATTCTCTTTGGTTTTACCGGAACCGTTTTGTGCCGAGAAAAACGTCGAAGCAACCTAGAATCCTTTATCACTAGAGTCTTGCGACAACCTAGAAGCAACGCAGAACCTGATTACCAAGCGAAGGCTCTGAAACAGCTTTGAATCAAACTACTATTATCAATCGCCTACTTTCCGTGTCTCAAACCTTCAGCAGATAAGTAGAAACAAGTCTTACAGCTAGAGACATTTTTATAGCTACAGTTTTTTTTATTACTGAGCGTAAGCGATATGTGATTACTCACGCCTTTCAATCTTTCCCCTAAATATTATAGAAAAGTTGTAGCCTTCAGACCATGGCACCGTTTTTAGGCTCTTATAACCAAGGGCACAATATAATGCTTCCTTTTAGGATGCGCCAGAACATGAGGTTGCGCCAGAACATGAGGATGCACTAGAACTCCATGGTTGCTTCATGCAGTCAACTGAACAAAAACCATCTAGCCGGATGCCGTTACTGTCCATCGTGACTTCAAGAGAAACTGTACCCACCAATATTATTTCGCAGCTTCTCCTAAACATGCGCGTCATATTGCGTGAACTGTAGGGAAGATTGATTGATAGATTGATTGATTGATTGATTGATTGATTGATTGATTGATTGATTGATTGATTGATTGATTGATTGATCGATCGATCGATCGATCGATCGATATCTGGGGTTTAACGTCCCAAAACCACCATATGATTATGAGAGACGCCGTAATATAGGGCTCCGGAAATTACGACCACCTGGGGTTAACGTGTAACCAAATCTGAGCACACTAGGGAAGATAGAAGCAAGAATGATGACCCCGGCGGAGCTTGACAGTAAGATCCACGGAAGCAGGAGCTTTCTGGTTCTTTACGTGGAGGAGTAGAAATATCGCTCGAAATTGTTGCATTTCAATTCATTCGCTCCTTGGGACACGGGTAACATCTCAGAACACTAGTACAGCAGCACGGGTTGAAACTACTGAAAAGTGGTAACAACAAAATTACATAACTCAAATATCGGGTAGTCGTTCCACGAAGGTTGGTCTGAAATGGCACCTCGTTCTCGTTTCTTCATAAAACAGAATGGCGATGATGATAAAGCAAGGGTACGTGGTGATGCTGTTATCTGTCTTCATCCAGATGTCACTTTCTGCACGAAATGGTAAGTTTTTAATGTTTTGTACAGCGTAAGGTGTTCCAGAATGTGTTACATACGTACATATAAACTAAATATATTTCCCGATAAATTTGTGAGTAGTTATGGCAATAAAGAAAAGTAACATGGGTGTCAAATAAAATTATCGCCTTCAAGTGCTTCGCCATTAGCCGACAGTTTGGTTGCCTTTATAATATTCCACACTACGATTTTAATCCTTCTTGAAAATAAGTTCCCCTGCTAATATTTTTCCAAAAGATATTTCCCGATTAACGATATAAACATAACAGTATACCTTATTATAACCAGTCGAGAATGTTCAAAAGGTAATGTCATGCTTTTAGGATATAAACCAAACCATTATTGTTAAATCAAATTAGTCCAGATGTTACTGTTGCCGAAGAGGGGCACAAACCCGTGAGCTTGTATATTCCACATGTGATTAACACTTCATATCCACCCAGAAATGTCCAAAACACACATGGGTTCCTTTAACTAAGGAGTGTTAGGAAAAAATCTGATATCGGCAGCATTGACCACACCAATGCGAAGAATTAATGTCAGGGTCCAAGCGAGAACCTAACCCTAGCATTCTGCGTAGTAATGAAGTATTCTACCACGAAGCTACGCCACGTCTCGTAACTACTTTTACATAGACCCTAATGTCCGTGAAATGTCAACTCAGATTGCAGTACGGGCTATCCAGTTTTCTCAACATTTTATATGTGCTTCTATGTTGCAGAAGACATGACAGGCTAACGTCAGTTGTAGTTGATATTTTATGACGTCCAGCTTGGATTTAAGCCTAGTAACCTGGCAAGGTGTTAGCGGCAAATTCAGCTTAGCTTTAACGAGGTTTCTAAATGAACAGAAGAAAACAAATTCTGAAGAACCCCCCCCCCCCCAAAAAAAAAAACACGCGTGTCTTGTTCTTCATAAAGAGAGGCACTTATCACGACTCTGGCATTCAATTGCATAATCAACGTCTCTCTGTTAATGCCGAACACAAATATCTTGAGCCTAATTCTAGGCACCAAGCTAACCTTCGTACCACACATCTAGTATCTAAAAACAAAGTGCATCAGAGTCATGAACATTCAAAAAGTGTTTTCATGCGCTATGTGGGTATGTGACGAGAAGTGTCTCATGAACTTGTATAAAAGCCTCGTACGCACTCGCCTTCACTATGGAGCAATAACTTATGAGTCTGCGACACCTACTGCCCTAAAGATGCTTGAACCTGTCCACCACCTAGGCATTCGCCTCTCTGCGGTTGCCTTTCGAGCCCGTCCCGTTGAAAGCCTGTACGTAGAATCTAACGAATGGTCACTCTATATACAGAGATTTTACATGTCTTTTTCTATGTTATCTCAAAGTGAAGGCAGACAAGGACCACCCTTAACTTTCCACAATTATTACATATCCAGCTTCGTTCGGCTTGAAAACCAGCCATCTCTGAGACAAACACATTCAATTCGTGTCAGGGTCCTTTCTGAGAAAACCATTGTGTCACTTGAACTTCGTTTGATGGCTCCCACAGCATGTCCACCACACCATGGCAGCGGCAAACAATAGATTGTGGTGTGCCTTTTTAGAGATTATAAAGCACGCACCCTTGGTATATATCCGCCCACACTTCTTAGAACTACAACATAAGTACACATGTTCTGAGTTCCTCAAAGTCCAACCCTTGTTTCGTACGCAGCAATCGGCGCATCCTTTTCAAATGCTGGCGTCCTGCTTTCTGATGCAATTATTTTGCCAGGAGAAGCTTATGTAATACATGCGGCTGTTAAACACATTGCACACATAAACTACAAAAGGCAGTAATTTACGTGGATTTTTTAAGCCTTGTGAAAGCTCTGAAATTTTTTTTGAAGTACAAAGTCAAGTTCTTGACTCCGTTTATTAGCTGTTATGTTCAATCTACTCAATTTAAACAGCATGTTGGAGTCTGCTGGGGGCCAGGTCATTGTGAGATACAGGGAAACGTTCCGACGCACCAGCTGGCTTCATCCGCCAACGACACCGTCGCTAATGTATCAATACCGATCTCTGCAGTTGATATGAAACCTTTTCTAAAACGAAAGCTCAGGTAACTATAGGTAGAACACGTGGAATAAACACACACATAATCAACTACATGTTATTAAGCCACAACTCGGTCATTGGCCGCAACTATTGAAATCACAACACAGAGAAATAACACTTAAAAGGCTAAGAACAGGACATACATACTTTACACAATCATATCTTCTGTCTGCTAGCGATCTAGCATTGTTTGAAAGATGTTGAAAAGCACTTACGGTTCTCCACATCCATGTTCATTGCATCGAGTTATATGCTCTTAAAAAAAGCAACTTTTCATTACCCTACCGACGACTGCTCCCACTGCATCCTGTCATGCTCATCGGTAGGAATTTCATTTTTAAACTTCAATCACTCTTTACGTTTTTAAATGATGTACGTAGCTTTCACTTCTTATACTCAGGTGATTCGTAGTGAGACCTCTGTACCGAAGTCGCACCTGTGGTGGCTACAATTACATCAGGGTTTCATGATCACGACTTTTAGCCATTCACTCTCACTGCACATATTCCACGCCACTGTCATGGCTTTCCTGCTTGCATGTTTTTACACGTGTTACCGCAAATAATTTTAAGGTCCCTATACAGCCACGCACCATATCATTGTTCACATCTCTTGTCGACTGAATTGTGCTTTTTGGCCATCAATTGACCCTTGTGCCATAAAGCACCACAAATCATCGTCATTAATTTTCTGCCATGCAGCTTGCACTTCTAGCCGTGCCTAAAGGGCAACCATAGAAGCTTGTTCGTGCCAGGTGAAACTAATTAGTAAATCTTTTCTCTCTATTTAAATTCTTTGGGAAGTCGAACCTGCTTGTCAAGCATTTGTTCATAGTTCGAACATAACGTATGTAACAATACAAGCATGTAAGAAGTTGGTGTATTGCACTCAAGCGATGTACCTTCGGCCTTCGTCGGAGCAACCTGATAGTAATTAAGGTAACAGTAAACCAGTACCTACAGACACAACATGAAGAAAATGCAGGCGGTAATGTCTAGGAACACAGCTGAACTGATGACATTTTGAGCTGTTACTCTTTTGCACTGAATAGTCGGAAAGTTGCACTGAGGTAGCTGAGTACAGGCTTTATCTCACCACATGCCGAGCACAGGTCATTCACTGATCAGCTTACAGCTTTCCAGTGGGCCCGCGATGTGGCCGGCAGGCTCGGCTTGCCGGTCCCGGCGTGGGACTAAACTGGGTGCGTCACTCTGTCGCGTTCCGCTGGACCAAATCAAAGTTATTTTCCTGCCTTCCTTCCTTCACCAGGATTTTCTCATAATTGCCCTTAGAAACAATTGTGATTCAGTAGCTACTTCGTAATGGCGTGTCCCAATTAACGATGTATACATAGCTGTGTACGTTATAGTAACCAGTTGGCATTAACTTGAAAAGAGTTCAGGTGTTTCTGTTCATCGTGCAATCCCGTTCACATTTTACTGCTTACGCAAATGTGTACAATTTTCCTTCTAACAGTTTGCTTGTAAATGCAGTAAAAGCTCGCTAATTCAAACTGCTTTAATTTGAACTGAAGTCCTGCTCCCGGACGGCTCTCAGCGCCGGGACCAGAACTATAGCGCTCGAATTATGAAAAAAAAAACTCCCTATAACTCGAGCGCTTTAGTATCCGCAACAGGGAATACAAACTGGCAGCCCCTGCTTTTCATTGCTGCTCACAGAACATGGCCGCGAGCGCTCACAATACTTTACAAAACCAAACAAAACCAAACTTGCTATAGATACAAAACAACGGAGTATCATTTATCAGCACATGAGCATTCAAACGCTGCATGCGCTGAAGCTCTTGGCCAAGCTGCAAACGATGCTGATGTTTTCGTGATGGAATTGCAAGACAATACTAAATACTGATTGATTTTCATTTTGATTGTTCGCCTATGCCAAGTTAAGAAACGTGTTTTGGACCATAAAAAGTCAAAGTTTTACCGCAAAGGCGAAGCAATGAACGCGATAGCAAGAATTTGGAAGTCCACGCGCACAATGCCAAGCAGATCAAAATGTGTCCCACGTTTTTCACGCAAAAATGACGCACGCAACGTACTAACAGGTACAGATGAACGCAAATAAGCGCCCCAGCGTTACTTGGCTTCGTCTAAAAAGCGCGTCCTTTTCGCAAATGGAGACTGTGCAACGATTGCAGTGACCTCGTGCACCCGAGAACTACAACAGAATCACTCCGGTGAAAACGCAAGACAAGGCAAGACGTACGATCCTCCCCACCGTGAGATAAGAGTGGGCGATTGAATGTCGTGCTCCTCCTCTACGTGGCGCAAAGTACGCGCAGGATATGACAACGCACGCCACCGCGTCCTGACGATGTGGTGACGCGTGCTCATTGCGCCATCTTGCTGGTAATGCTGAAAACACGATAGTCCCCCCCCCCCCCCCCCCCCGAGATGCCCGCCTGCAGCGGTAAGTGGTAGGTATAGATAGCTTGCCGTTTGAGCGTTGAAGGAGGTGTTCCTCCATGGATCAATGGCTAACGAGACTCGCACTCACGATACACAGGTATCAAGTTCGATTTCACGTGCCGGAGTATTTTTCTTGATAATCTTTTTCTTGTATTTACACATATATAGGTACGTATACATATACCGTGAGTAATGGCGATGTCGACGACGACGCCGACGTTGACACCAGCAGCAACATTCAGCCGAGAGTGTCAATAATGACGCCTGGACATTACTAGACACCCGTGAAAAGCGATTGGCTGTAGTTCAGATTCTCAGCAATTACCGGTAATTATTAACGCGCCACTTTTTACTTCAAACCCATACGTTCTTCCTTCCGCTGAGAAGTGGAATGTCACCGGCTCGTATCTGATGTGGACTTTATGAACAAAAATATAAGCAATAAATAGAGAGGGTGCAGATGTCGGAGTGTGCTCACGCAGCTGTGCTCGCCATGTAGTAACACGGTTAAGATGCTGCGCTGTGACGTTAGATCACAGCGAGAAATAGAAGCCACGACCCTAGGACGGCAAAGCGCATTCGCACTGGATGGGGGGGGGGGCGGAAGCTATAGCGACGAGAAGAGGTATCGCAGCGCCATTGCGAATACCCACCGAAAAGGTGGGGTCACCCAAAAAAAACAATACTTTATGAATATTTACAAACTTCGGTCATCATTTTTCTATAGCACCTCTCCTAAGGTAGACCCGCACAAAACCCCGCACTGGGTTAATATGAAACGCATCAAAAATTGTCATCCCAAGTTCAGAAAAGGCACAAGCATGTGTTCTTGCACACTTGCTTGCGCACTGCTTATTTCACGTCAGAGGTCCAAGTGGATTCTAAATGAAAACCGCATTTCTCTTACTAAAACAATCGAGACGTACTGCTTTCTGAAGCTCTAAACAAATAGTTTCTGTTTGCAGGAGAACGAAAATAAACCTGTGTAACTCGGCAGTGAAAATTATCGACATATCGCGTCCCTTTTTTATTTCTTTGATAGATTCGAAGCCCAGTGAGGAAAAGCCTGATTTCGAGCAACTAACGGGACAGCCAAGTACGAACACCACTGAGGAACCCAGCATCGCGCACGGGTGTCCTACTATTCAGAAACACGTAAGTCCTTTGTTAGAGAAAATTACCCTAGGCTATTCGCGGTCAACCTCCTTAGCGTAAGTGATACAGCCACGTTGTTTGGGGCGACAAAACATGTCAAAGAAAATCTCTCCAGGAACCAATAAGAGGATAGGAGTTGTTAGCACAATTTATTCCTAATGTGATTATTTTCCTGTGTTTACTCATGATGTTATATATATATAAATATATATATATATATATATATATATATATATATATATATATATATATATTGACAGGATATAATGACATCTAACAGAATTTAATGCCAAAAAAGTATAGAGGAAGCTATAAAAGCAAATTTTAATGTAAATGTGAAGACAGAAAAGTGGATGAAAAGATTACTCGCCGTGGGCAGGATCCAAACCTGCAACCTTCGAATAACGCGTTCAATGCTCTACCACTGAGCTACCACGGCGGCGACCCCCCCCCCCCCCCAGCCACTTCTTTAGGTATATATGTGGGTTTAAACGTGAGAGTGCCGGCCAGCGCCCCCTCAGCCATTGCGGCGAGAGCGACGCGCTCTTCTTGAGCCTGTTTGTCGTCACGTAGCCCGTGAACTTATTACTATATATATATATATATATACATATATATATATATATATATATATATATATATATATATATATATATATATATATATATATATATATGCCGAGAGGAAAGAAGTGAGATGGAATAAACATGGCGTATGAGCCAGGCCACGTCTCCCATTCATCGTAGCGTCACACGAGTCGACAGGATGAAGAAATGGCCACCGCCCATCAACCTCGTATCATTCACGAAGCCACCGGCAGTACGTCTCAACTGAATATCGACCACAGAAGAGGTGATCTCTGGAGGCGGAAATGTTGTAGGCCCGTGTGCTCAGATTTGGGTGCACGTTAAAGAACCCCAGGTGGTCAAAATTTCCAGAGCCCTCCACTACGGCGTCTCTCATAATCATATTGTGGTTTTGGGACGTTAAACCCCACACATCATCATCAAGAGGTGATCTCAGTCGCATGCAGTTCCCGGCATCATGACGGAACCATCTACTGATCCCCAAGTACACCGGAGCAGCGGACGATGGACCTGTACAGGACTGGTTCGACCTGTTCGATCTCCACGCTACCGCGGCATCATGGTCGGAACGGGAGATCGTTACAAACTTCAGCGACTACGTGACTGGTGAGGCATTAAATTTTACCTTACCCACAACTTCGACAACGGCGAATCGTGGCAGAAAATCAAAGAAGAGATGATAACTCGTTTTAACGACTATGACCAAGACTTATTTATTGCCGACCATCTGGAGAATAAATACCGCACACTATCGTCAATTCCCTAAGCAGTCCTCAAGTATTCGAAATCCCAACGTGAATCGACAACTGCCACAAGACGAGGTGGCACATGGGTTTACTTCCAGAAGACCATGCGTGTTTTGGGAAAAACCTAACCATCAAGCGCGCCTCCTTTCTGCACGAAAGCCGGCATTTCGAAAGTCCTCACTCCAGCCTATGACGCGAGACGTTGCTCACTGACCTGATGCTTTTAATTCTTCGTCTCGCATACGTGGTCCACGACGCGGTTTTCCATCACGCGGCTCTTCGAGCGCTCCAATCGCTCACCATTTGCCTCATAAGGACGCCGCGACCACGGTACATGACCTGACGCTTCACGAAAATACCCTGTCAAGCCATGCTCCTTCTGGACGGATTCATTCATCACCGTGCGGTGTACACACACTAGACAGTTGAAACAAAGCAGAAGATCCAGACAAATGTAACATCGCATGGTGCCAAGCGCAAGACCCCTTCGTAGTGAACAGTTCAGAAGAAGCCTCCGAAGACCTTTTTGCCGATTCTAGTGCACCACCTTCATTTTCTTTTGAGAATCACGACAACCCAACGACTACCAACTATTTATCGGTCACACCAAATACCAAAGAAAAGCAGGCTCGGGTTAGTAAAGGAATGCCACCTTGCCGGATTCCGCAACATCAAAAGTACCATCAAGAACTCAAAGACCTCCAGAAACTACGGCAATTACATCAACCACTACGACGAACTAAAATAAGAACACGAGCAGATTTGCGGCTTAAGGATGTTCGTCAGGAACGACACCAACTAAAGGAAAACAAAGTCAACATCTGAGCCATATTCGTGGAAGGAAACGTCAAGGAATTCTTCTGTACCAGATATCAAGGCATCATGTACAATCCTACCGACGGAGATACCACTACAAAAACCACGAAGCAGACTGAACGCTACCATTTGCAAAATGCAGGAACACAGACATCATATCAACTACTTCGGTTCTCGCAAACGCAAGCTGTAAGCAATGTTTCTCTCTCAGCCACGACACAGAATACAGCGCCCACGAGAGAAAATTCAGTGCCTACGACATCCGACCTTCAAAGGCTACAAGCACGTCCAACCTCGTTCGTTCTTCGCAGCTGCTGAAGCCGGGTCATGGCCAGTGCAGTTGTGCAGGACGCGGTTCTCTTTTCCAGAACACCACAGTCAGCCTCGCCCACCAGATCTCCTGCGTTAACCGGACTGCTGCACTCTCTCCTGAAGTTTTTGGAAGTTTACGGCACTTCTCTAGAGCATAGAACCAATTGCAAATTTTGACATTTGTGACTTTTCAACTTCTCCTTGTTTACTTTTTCTTGTTCGTATTTCATGCCTTCTTTCAGGGGGAGGGGAAATCGTGCGACGTATGAAGCGATGGTTGATAGAGGCCGAGAAGGAAAAAGTGAGATGAAATAAACATGGCGTATGAGCCAGGCCACGTCTCCCATTCATCATAGCGTCAGATGTATATATACAAGTGTGTGTGTGTGTGTGTGTGTGTGTGTGTGTGTGTGTGTGTGTGTGTGTGTGTGTGTGTGTGTGTGCGTGTGCGTGTGCGTGTGCGTGTGTGTGTGTGCGTGTGTGTGTGTGTGTGTGTGTGTGTGTGTGTGTGTGTGTGTGTGTGTGTGTGTGTGTGTGTGTGTGTGTGTGTGTGTGTGTACGTTAGGCAGAGTTGGTTATAAATAAAGAAGATGGCTGACATCCCAGCCTAGTACTGTGTACTATTACAAATTGGCGCAGCCGCGTATACTTTCTGTACGGACATTCAAGATTTGGGTGGACTTCACCAGTGGAGCAAATCAACGCGCTGGCATCCGGATCTTGACCGCTAAACCTCAAGATGAAGAGGAACTAGCTCTTCCGAAAGCAGTGAGTATTGACGCATTTGTTTCCTATATAAGCACTAAAATGACGCCCACTCCAGACCATTTACTTGCTAAAAGAACAGTAAGGGTCAACATAAAACTTAAGGACTATGAAAATTTCGTGCTGACTTCAGTAATAAACGGCGAAAAGTGTGCTACCACTGCTTCGCCTGACAGTTCTGTCGAGCGCTTGCTTCTAAACGCGATCGAAAGATTAAGCAGACCGAGTCGCGAACACGTGAAGCCCGACATGTTTGACAGAGAGTCTAGAAGTCGCAAGTCCTTTCTAACGTTTTACGAGTATGCATGCATCAAAAACTACTGGCACAGTGACGAAGATAAAGTGAAAAACATGCGACTATTCCTATCGGACATAGCCATAAGTTTGTACGAATGGCGTGTCAACGTTCACAGCAAAAAACCACGGATAGAGTGGAAAGCAAGCTTTCTGAGCTCCTTCAGCGAGAACATGGTGTTGCTATGGGACAAAGCAATCACGTTCAAATACAGGTCTGGATCTGCACTCAGCTATTTTTATGGAAAAACGGTGCTTGCTACAGCTGGCGGACTCATCTTAGCCTAAGGCGTCTATGGTTCCGCTTATCATCCATGATTTAAGTCCGGACCTCCAGAAGCAAATACAAATGCGAGGACCCAAGACGTAGAAGAACTTCTGCAGGAATGCGAAACCTCTACCTCCAGGACCTATGAACCCAGCGTCAACCCATGACACCTGCTGCAAGGAATACCTGGGCCACATGAGCTGAGGAACGACGCCCGCTTGCAAGCTGGATTCCTACTGCAACGCACGTATCTTTTTTGACCAACCACGGAGGCTCAGACCATGGCGAAGAGCTAGATGACGTAACAAAAACTAAATAGAGAGGGTCTCGGCTTCCACCCGACAATATCAAGAGAAGCTGTTTTTTTGTCTCAGACAAGTGTATTGTACATATCTGTTATTGTGGGTGGAAAGGAATAGAGTGCGTTACTTGACAGCGGAGCAAGCGTCATTGTTATTAACGCAAATTTTGTTGAGAGAACGAAAGTAAAACAGCGAATCCCAGTAGAAGTACACGAATACGATGGAAGACGAGATGTTCACGATAAATGGACTTGTATAACCATATGGTGTCTCGGCAACACTGTCACTGCGCAAGCACTGGTACTCGACGGAGTGCCGCTTGAATTACTGCTTTCCCATCCAGTCATCAATGCGCTTCGCCCTAATATCTACTGGACAGGAGAAATTACCCCAGAAAAAAAGTGCCGCGCTATCAACGCTGCAGTTTCGCCTTCAAGGATTCCGTGAAAACCATCGTCAGGTGAAGATGTTAGGACGCTTTACCCGGAATCACTGTGCTTAAAAGGATATCCTACGGCAACTACAAAGTTTGAGGTTCCATTCCAGCTCATTGATACGACGGTGGTGCGAAAGAAGCCCTATAATATGTCACGAGACAATACGGTGTGGCTTCAGAACGAGATTCAATAGATTTTGGGTGCACAGATCATCGGTCTATCCACGTCTACGTTCGCTTCACCCATCCCCAATGACCAAAGGAAGATGGAAGTCTGACTCTGCACGCACTACAGACAAATTAATAAGCAGACTGAGCTTTTTCCGTTTCCTATGCCACGTATAGACTCTATCACAGATGACATGGATGGCTGCAGAGCTTTCTCGCGCATTGACCTACGTAAAGGATTTTGGCAAGTTCCGATTTCTGAAAAGTGCAAGAAATATTCTCCCTTCATCACGCTTTTTCACTTCT